TCCATGATCAACCCCTTGGTGGAAGGAGTCCATCAAAGCTTCTTCAAGCTGGGATCATTTATCCTATATATGATAGTTAGTGGGTGAGTCTGGTCCAGGTGGTCCCCAAGAAGACAGGCCTCACTGTTGTGAAAAATGAGAGGGATGAGCTCATTCCCACTAGAGTGCAAAACAGTTGGAGGGTCTGCATCGACTACCGAAGGCTGAATCAAGCAACCAGGAAAGATCATTTTCCACTGCCTTTCATTGACCAGATACTTGAGCGTCTGGCAGGTAAATCTCACTACTGCTTTCTTGATGGTTTTTCTGGTTATTTTTAAATCCATATTGCTCTTGAGGATCAAGAGAAAACCACAGTCACCTACCCTTTTGGCACTTTTGCCTATAGGAGGATGCCCTTTGGCCTATGCAATGCCCCTGGTAACTTCCAGCGGTGCATGCTTAGTATCTTTTCTGACTTTCTTGAAAATTGCATAGAGGTGTTTATGGATGATTTTACTGTTTATGGATAGTTTGGATAGAGTTCTAAATAGATGCATTGAGACTAACCTTGTTCTTAATTTTGAGAAATGTCATTTCATGGTTGAGCAGGGTATAGTTTTAGGGCATATCATTTCCAGTAGGGGCATTCAGGTTGACCCTACAAAGATATCTATTATTGCACAATTGCCTTACCCCTCTTACGTGCGAGAGGTTCGATCTTTTCTTGGCCATGCAGGTTTCTATAGGCGCTTCGTCAAAGAATTTAGCAAGAAGGCCCTTCTGCTATCCAATCTACTGCAGAAAGAGGTTGATTTTGTTTTTGATGACAGGTGTAAACAGGCTTTTGACTGCCTCAAGGAAGCACTCACCACCACTCCAATCATTCAGGAACCTGATTGGACAGTCCCATTCGAGCTGATGTGTGATGCATCCAATTATGCATTGGGAGCTGTCCTGGCACAAAGAGTTGACAAGTTGCCTCGAGTGATATATTATGCTTCCAGGACTTTGGACCTGCCCAAGCAAACTACACTACCACAGAGAAAGAGCTTCTTGCCATTATTTTTGCTCTTGATAAATTTAGATCTTATTTGCTTGGTTCTCGTGTTATTGTCTATACTGACCATGCAGCTCTGAAGTACCTGCTGAAAAAGGCTGAGTCAAAGCCTAGATTGATCAGGTGGATGCTTTGGCTCCAGGAGTTTGATTTGGATATCCGGGACAGGAGTGGAGCTCAAAATTTAGTGGCAGACCATCTCAGCAGAATTGAAAGAGCTGAGGATAGTGCTGACGTCTTGCCCATCCAGGATAATTTTCCTGATGAAAATTTGTTGATTGTTTCTTCTGTTTCTGTTTCTTCTACCACCCCTTGGTTTGCAAACATTGTTAATTTTTTAGTTGCTTCTGTTTTTCCTCCCTTAGCATCACGAGCTCAAATTGATAAAATTAAGAGTGATGCTAAGCATTATATTTGGGATGACCCCTATTTGTGGAAGTTGTGCAGTGACCAGGTGATTAGGAGATGCATACCAGATCATGAGATCGATTCAGTCCTGCAATTTTGTCACTCTTCTGCACCAGGTGGCCATCTAGGCATTCAGAGGATAGCTCACAGGGTGCTCGATTGTGGTTTCTATTGGCCCACCATCTTCAAAGATGCGTGGAAGATTTGTAGCACTTGTGAGCAGTGTCAGCGAGCAGGAGGATCCCTTACATGGAGACAACAGATGCCTCAGCAGCCCATGCTATTCTGTGAGGTGTTTGATGTCTGGGGTATTGATTTCATGGGTCCCTTTCCTGTTTCTTTTGGTTTTTCCTACATTCTTTTAGCTGTTGATTATGTTTCGAAATGGGTGGAAGCCAAACCCACCAGAACTAATGATGCTCGGGTTGTTATGGATTTTGTTAGATTTCACCTATTCTGCAGGTTTAGAGTACCCAGAGCTATTGTTAGTGATCAAGGCACCCATTTTTGTAACAGATCTATGCAGGCTTTGCTCAAGAAGTATGGGGTAGTGCACAAAATTTCTACACCCTACCACCCCCAAACCAATGGGCAAGCTGAAATTTCAAACAGGGAGATCAAGAGAATCTTAGAGAAGATTGTCTAGCCCAATAGAAAAGATTGGAGTAACAGGTTGGATGATGCTCTTTGGGCGCATAGGACTGCCTACAAAGCACCCAAAGCACCCATATGGATGTCTCCTTATCGTGTTGTCTTTGGCAAGGCATGTCATTTACCTGTTGAGATAGAGCACTGAGCCTACTAGGCTATGAGGACCTGCAACTTCTCTATTGGTCAGGCTGGAGAGGAATGAAAGTTGCAACTGAGTGAGCTTGATGAGATCTGCCTTGAAGCCTATGAGAACTCTAAGTTCTACAAGGAGAAAACCAAGAAGTTCCATGATAGTTTGATAGCTAGAAATGACTTCACGGTTGGGCAGAAAGTTTTACTGTATAATTCAAGGCTCGGTCTCATGGGTGGTAAGTTACGTTCTAAGTGGATTGGACCTTTTGTTGTTACTGATGTTTTTCCTTATAGTATAGTTGAGATCAAAAGTGAATCCACAGACAAGAGCTTCAAAGTTAGCAGGCACCGTCTGAAGCCTTTCCTCAGCAATCTTTCCCTGTTGAATGCAGTTGAAGAGGAGATGTCTTTGCTCGACCCCGCTACTCTCCCACCATGACTTAGGGAGTTTTCTTTTTCTCTCTCCTTCTTTACTTTTATTGCACATGTCCAATTCTGTTGATTGTTCTGATTGCTTTGATCTTATGTTGTGCCACATTGGGACAATGTGTAGCTTAAGTGTGGGGGGGAACTGTTTTGGTGTTTTGATTATATGCCAAATTTTGTGAAAATACCTAGAACTAGAACGGCCCGTTCTGGTTCCAGGTATTTTCAAAAAATTTGGCATCCACGTAGCATCTACATATGCATCTACGTGGCGTCCACGTGACCAATAGTTAACTCCGTTTAAATAATTTGGACGGAAGTCCTAAATTGAAACCAATTAACTTATGAGGGACCAAATTAAGACAAAAAATAAAAGTGAGACTAAATTGAAATAAACAACTATTATAAGAGACCAAAATAAATTTTTAGAAAAAAAAAAAAAAAACAGTTTAGTCCGATTTTTAAAAAAGTAGAAAATGAAGAAATTAAAAGAAAAGGTCAACGGGATTTGTATTTTTGATTATTTTGATCAGCGGTGTTTGGGGTTTGTCATTTGCGGGACCCACACAGCACTGAATCGGGACAGTTGTCAGTCCCTTAGTCTTCCTTACCCGCGCTACCGACCTCCCTTTCCCTTGTCTCCTTCTTCTTACATTTCATGGTGAAGCTCCTCAACCTCAATCTCCGATCCTCATCCTCTAAACTCCTTTCACGCAACATACTCAACAAACTCCCCCCTCCGAAAACACAACCCTTCTCTCAACGCACCACCACCACCACCATCACCATGTCCGTAAACCTCCGCAACCACGCCTTCGCTGGCAACCCGCTCCGATCCCGGACCCCCAGCCGGGTCGACCCGTTTTCGCCCGCCGCCGCGCACGAGACCCTGAAGGCCCGAATTCTGGACACCGCGAGCGGGTCCTCTCCGTGCGTGAATTTCAAGGTGCTGCCTTTCAGGAACGGGCGGCCCCTGGCGGCTTCGTCCGGTAGCGACGCGTGGCGCCTGGGGTGGATCGCGCTGGAGGAGGTGAAGGGGCTTCTAGGCGCGGACCTGAGCGCGGAGTCGTTTGTGTATTTGGGTTCCGACGCGGACGAGGATTCGGTGTACTGGGCGATTGACGTGTCGCGGGAGAGTGGGTTGGTGGCGGAATTGGGTGGCATGAAGCTCTGCTTCGTCGAGCTTAGGACGCTCATGGTGGCTACTGATTGGGTGAATTTTAAGGCCATGGGAAACTTGGCTATCGCCGGTCATGTAAGTTGAATTTTGTTTGTTGCTTGTGACATGTTACTGTTACTAGGTATCTACTGATGCCACACTTATAACGGATCTCTCGTCCTCTTCTAACCACATGAGAACACCCTGCTTAAGGTGAATGAGTCCGGAATCGACTTGTTGGTTCTTATGATCAATTAAGTGCAGAAATTTTACTTTAAAATATATTTTTCATGAACTAATCTTTATTGTAACTTGATATTATTAGAAAACGTATTATTGAAAATTAAATTTCAATTAAATAAAGGGTATTCTAGAGATGATAACATTACTTAAGGTTAAATTAGTTGAAATTTACTTATTACTTCTTGTCCTAATCATAAGCAACACCTTATGATAAATCATCATGATCTGGTAGCTTTTAATCAATTCTATCATAAATTCCAATTTTCTTCCCGTGCTTGTTATATTTAATGCCATCATAGGAAATAGAGTTAGCAATTAATTAAGGATATAAAAGAAATTTATGCTTGAGTAACTTTAAAGATACTTATATTTAGTACCAAATAAAAATCCAATTTGTTGTCTATAATTAGGACAAGAGGTAGTAGTATATTTGAGGCTAAAACCATGTGCTTTTAGTTGCTTATACTTGTGGGAGTATTTTTTCTCTTCCTCCTCGTATTGTTTTTGCTTCTGGTTGGTTCTTTGCTATGGAGGAATTCTGCAGTATAGGAGCAGTACATAGTCAAATTAATGCCCTTTGATTTTCTAGGGCTTGGTAGAATTGGTTTAGTGTGTAACGGATGGGAAATTGATTTCAGGGTTTAAGCAAGCAAGCCAAGACTCCCTCTGAAGATATAGAGCATGTTTGTTTTAGCTAAATCCTGAGTTTTTCAATGCATGATCAACGTCAATTCCCTCTCACAGTGAATTGACGTTCAATGTTGTGAAACAGTGATTCAAATACACATACAGTGGTAGTCATTGTAGTCTGTTAATTTGACAGTAGGTGTTTGAAAGGAACCAGATTTCTTATAAACCGACTATATTGAAAATGTAAGAAGTATTACTAGATAAACCTTTGTTATCCCAGAGCAAAAGCTCCTCAGATAATAAAAGGTTTCCTCTAGTATACACTCTAGACTCCCAAATTGGAATATACGAACTGCACATGTTTTTCCTTCTCCCTCTCTACATCTATAACAGATTCCGTTATCTTTTCTTTTTTCTTTTTTTATTCTCTCTCCATAACTAACTCTTCACTCCTTTCCTATTACCCATCTAAGGTGATTCGAAGTGAGTCTTGTACATTTGGGCTTGTGATTGAGAACTTATCAGCATAGTTGTCAATCACGGCCGGAGCGGCCGCTATCGCGGCGCTCTGGAGCAGAGCGGCCCAACGCTGCAATTGTGATGTTGTCGCGTCTCGGATTTCTGTTGCGGCTAGAGCGGCCGCGTCGGACGTGGAGCGGAGCGGCCAAAAACAGCGGAATCGCGCCACGTCTTGGACAGACCCTTCATTAAGGGTAAGTCCATCATTTTTGTTGGGTTTTTCTTGCCCTAAATCTTCCTCTCCCTCTCGCGGAACCATTGTTGTTGGTTTCTGAACGTCTCGCACTCCCTCTCCTCTCTCTCTCTCGGACTCGATTCTTTCTCTCTCGGGGACGACCGTCGACGCACTCCGGTCGTCTTCTTCAGGCGTCTCTGTCAGACGCTACTCCAGTTCCGACGCACTCCAGTTCCGACGCACTTGTCAGTTCTGACTGACGCTCCTCCAGTTCCAATGCTGCTCCTCCAGTTCCGACGTCCTCCTCTGTCTTCTTTGTTTGTCTTCTCATTTTCTATTTTATAATTCAACATATTTATTTTTAATTTGTTATTAAATTTAATTCAGCAGTTTTTTTTAATTTTTGATTAAATTTAATTGAGCAGATTTTTTTTAAATTTTTGATTAAATTTAATTCAGCAGAATTTCTGATTAAATTTAATTCAGCAGTTTTTTTTAATTTTTGATTAAATTTAAGTGAGCAGATTTTTTTTAAATTTTTGATTAAATTTAAGTGAGCAGATTTTTTTTAAATTTTTGATTAAATTTAAGTGAGCAGATTTTTTTTAAATTTTTGATTAAATTTAAGTGAGCAGATTTTTTTTAAATTTTTGATTAAATTTAAGTGAGCAGATTTTTTTTAAATTTTTGATTAAATTTAAGTGAGCAGATTTTTTTTAAATTTTTGATTAAATTTAAGTGAGCAGATTTTTTTTAAATTTTTGATTAAATTTAAGTGAGCAGATTTTTTTTAAATTTTTGATTAAATTTAAGTGAGCAGATTTTTTTTAAATTTTTGATTAAATTTAATTCAGCAGAATTCTTTTGGCTTTTATATATATATATATTATTAATTATTTAATATATATAAATTAATATTAAAATAGCGGTTATTCCGCTCCGCGTTATCCCGCTATCTCGTTTTTAGGGTTGACCGCTTCGCTCCGCTATCCGGGATTGACTACTATGCTTATCAGTATTGCCCCCTTTATTTTCTGCCTTGTCCTCAAGGCAGAGAAAGGAGAATAGTTCTCTACTAGCTGCTGCAACTTCATACTCCTTGAGGCAAAAGGAAAGGTGACATTGTTTCTCACAGATGCTTTGTTAGCATCACTTGAATGTTCAAATAGGCAGCAAAAGGCACAGATTAGCTGATCTGTGTACCTTGTATTATAAATGAAAAGAGAGAGTTACATGAAAAGATGAAAAGCCTAGAGGCCTAAGCCATCACATCAGGCTAGAGAACAATCAGTAAAATACATTAAAATATTAATAAAAAAAAGTGGCTTTCTAAATAAGCTATTCTAACACTCCCCCTCAAGCTGGTGTATATAGATTATATGCACCGAGCTTGGAACATAAAAATTGGATTCGAGGTCACCTTAATGACTTAGTCATAACATCTGCAAGTTGTTCACTGAAATTGACAAATTCAGTAATTATTTCCTTGGACATCAACTTCTCCCTCACAAAATGACAGTCAACCTCTATGTGCTTGGTTCTCTCCTTGAATACTGGATTTGAAGCAATGTGAAGAGTGGCTTGATTATCACAATACAATCTCATTGGATGATCCTCACAAAACTTTAACTCTCGAATGAGTTGCTTAATCCATACAAATTCACAAGTAATCAAGGCCATAGCTCGATATTTAGCTTCAGCACTAGATCGAGCAACAACATTTTGTTTCTTACTCTTCCAAGAAATGAGATTTCCACCAAGGAATACACAGTATCCAGTAGTAGAACGTCTATCTATAGGACATCCTGCCCAATCAGCATCACAGTATCCAAAAATTCTACTGTCTCCTTTGTCCTCATACAATAATCCTTGTCCTGGAGCCTTTTTGATATATCTGAGAATACGAAGAACAACATTCCAATGATCGATATGAGGAGCCTACATGAACTGGCTTACAATCCCTACTGCGAAAGAGAGATCAGGTCTTGTGATTGTAAGATAAATGAGTTTCCCAACCAATCTCCTATACCTTTCTGGATCTGTGAACGGTTCGCCTTGATCAGTCATTAACTTTTGGTTAGGATCCATAGGACTATCAATGGGTCTACAATCAGTCATGCCTGTTTCCTCCAAAATATCCAAAGCATACATCCTTTGAGAGATCACAATGCCTTCCTTTGATTGGGCAACCTCGATACCAAGAAAATATTTTAGATGTCCCAAATCTTTGGTCTGAAAATGGCTAAACAAATGTTTCTTCAATTGAGAGATTGTAGATACATCGTTTCCTGTAATCACTATGTCATCCACATAAACAATCAAATAAACACATCTCCCAGGAGAAGTATGACAATAGAAAACTGAGTGGTCTGCTTCATTTCTTTTAAGCCCAAAGTCCTGTACAACATGACTAAATTTTCCAAACCAAGCTCGAGGAGATTGTTTGAGGCCATAAAGAGATCTTCGCGATTTAAAAACTAAACCAGACTCCCCCTGAGCAACAAATCCAGGAGGTTGCTCTATGTAAATTTCCTCCTCCAACTCACCATGAAGAAAGGCATTTTTAATGTCTAATTGGTGGAGAGGCCAACGACGAATAGTTGCCATAGCAAGAAAGAGACGAACAATAGGAATCTTGGCCACAGAAGAAAAGGTGTCACTATAGTCTAGGCCATAAATCTGAGTATACCCCTTTGCTACCAATCTGGCTTTGAGCAGATCGACTGTACCATCAGGGCCAACTTTAATAGCATAGACCCATCTGCATCCGACTGGTCGTTTCCCAGAAGGAAGTGTAACTAGCTCCCATGTACCACTATGCTCAAGAGCTTCCATTTCAGCAATCATGGCTTGTCTCCATCTAGGATGACCAAGAGCCTCATGAACATTTTTAAGAATAGTAAGAGGAGATATAGAAGAGACAAAGGAGAAATACAAGGGAGATAATCGATGATAACTCTCGAGTAGATCGAATACCTTTTCGAAGAGCAATAGGCCATCCAGAGTTATCCTCACTAAGATCCGTAGTAGGGACATCTGATGGTGAAGGACATGAATTTGGTGACTCTTCAGGTAATATTGGATCAATTTGTCGTGTTCGACGTTGATATGTGACAAGAGGAGGTGGAGTAGCTTGAATAGGAGTAGCTGTGGGAATAGGAGACTGAGGAACCTCTTGGTTATGAAGTGAAATTTGAGGTGGAATGGAAACATGAGAACAAACTGGTAGCACTTGTTGTATGGAAAGAGAATCATGAGTGGTACATGAGAAAAATGGAGTTTGTTCAAAGAAGGTGACATCTGCAGACATGTAGAATTTTCTGGTCTCTGGAGAGTAATGCCTGTACCCTTTCTGAAGACGAGAATAGCCTAAGAAAACACATTTAATAGCTCTAGCAGATAATTTATCCAAACCAGGTGAGACATTATGGACAAAACATGTACACCCAAAGACTTGAGGTGATACATGAAACAAGGGTTCCTTTGGATAAGTAATGGAGTAAGGGATTTTATTTTCCAGGGAAGAAGAGGGCATTCTGTTTATTAAAAAACAGGAACTGAGAATTGCATCAACCCAATGATGTACAGGAACATTTGCATTGAGCATTAGGGTGCGTGCAGTCTCCACAAGGTGCCTATTTTTTCTTTTTGCTATTCCATTTTGTTGGGATGTATGTGGACATTTAGACTGATGTAAGACACCCTGTGAGGATAGGAAAGAGGATAATTCAGAAGAGAAATATTCTTTTGCATTGTCACTTCTAAATATTTTAATTATTCTCCCAAATTGGTTTTTGATCTCATTGAAGAAAGACATAAAAATAGACAAAAGCTCAGAACGATCTTTCATTAAATATACCCAAGTACATCGAGAAAATTCATCAATAAATGTTATAAAAGATGTTACACGACTTGGACCCCAAATATCAGAATGAATGGTGGTGAAAATCGAGTTACATCTTTTATCAGTTTGCTTGGGAAAAGACGACCTAACATGTTTGCCTAATTGACATGATTCACAACCTAACTCTTCTAAATTTTTAAGACTAGGAACCAAAAGTTTCAGCTTGGATAGACTTGGGTGACCCAAACGATCATGCAAAAGCTTAGGTGACAAAACAACAACAAAAGATATAGGTGGTTGCGTTTCAAAATAGTAGAGACCACTAGATTCATGTCCTGCGCCAATCTTCCGACCCGTACCACGTTCCTGAATAACAAAAGATTTAGCATTAAAGGTTACTGAAAAATTTAAAGATTTGGTTAACTGACTTAAAAAGATTAAGTTGAAAGGACAATTAGGAATAAACAAAACAGTTTAGATTTAATGAGGGAGACAGAGAAACTTGACCAATTCCTTTGGGAGCAATTCTGGATCCATCTGCTAAGGTAATAAGGTGAGGTGATTTAAGTGGGGACATGGAAGAAAACACAGAATCATTACCGGTTATGTGATCAGAGGCTCCTGAATCAATGATCCATGGACTTTGATTTGCAGTTGAATGAGAAACTTAGGCTGTAGAAACAATAATGGTAGAGAAAGATTGACCTCGATTCATAGATTTCCATTGAAGATATTCTTGATAGTCATCTTCAAGGATCTTCATATCAGATTTTTCTAATTTCTCAAACTTGGACAGATTTTTTGTCTTCTCTGGAAAACCATGAAGAGAATAACAATTATCTTGGGCATGACCCATCCTCTTATAGTATGAACATTGAGGACGACCATTTCCACCTCCTCTTCCTCCTCGATTTCCACGACCACCTCTACCACGACTAGAAACCATTGCAGAAGCTTCAATAATTTGACCATAGTTTCATTCTTCACTTTTGGAGATGCCATAAGAAGCAAGCTCGGTGCACCAGAAATTAGAGAGAGAAGGACAGCAGAGTAGAAACGCAGACCCACACCTTAAATAGTGATCAAATCAAAAATTTCAGTCCAGAAGTATACTCAGAAGACTCCGACGAACAAGGCGGTGGCTGGACGTGGGGGTTCCGATGACCAGACAGCGGCGCGTGAACAGTACGTGCTTGACAGAGCCGTAGAAAGAAGCGGCACGTGAGAGCGCATGAGAACTCCGACGATGATGAAGTTGACAGGGTTAGGTCGCGCTTAACAAGGCGCACCAAACCCTAGGTTCGCCGGAGTAACAAGTCGCTGGCAAATGGCGGCGAACGGCGATGAGTGACAACAGACAGCAGCGACGATCCCCGCTCTGATACCAACTTGAATGTTCAAATAGGCAGCAAAAGGCACAGATTAGCTGATCTGTGTACCTTGTATTATAAATGAAAAGAGAGTTACATGAAAAGATGAAAAGCCTAGAGGCCTAAGCCATCACATCAAGCTAGAGAACAATCAGTAAAATACATTAAAATATTAATAAATAGAAGTGGCTTTCTAAATAAGCTATTCTAACAGCATCACTTTCCTTGGTTGCAAGAGCTCGTCTTGATGCACTTCTCTGCATTATCCCAGGAACTACCATGTGTTTGGAAAAAGTGCCATAAGAATACCAGACATTGTTGCAAACATGATCAAAATAGCCACAACATCAATTAAGGTTGCCTTGTATAGTAGCGCAAAATTCAAAATAGAAAGTCAACTGTAATTGGTGAAGCGATTGCCATAGCACCAAGTTTTATCATCTCTCTTAATGATGTAGATGCTACAATAGCAACATAACTACCGTAATTAGGTTTCTCCTTGTAATCCATTATACCAGGCCATTCAATGAACTAACTTCTCACTTGGTTAACAATCATTTGTGCACTAAAGAAAAATATTAGCGTGGAAACTAACTACCGCCAATGGAACTTCAGCAATTGCAATATCAAATTTTTTAAAAGGTTCATGAGCAAATGTAGAAACCTCTTTGGTGGTCGCTTTGGTTGTGTTTCCTATTGCATCAAGTATGTCAATTATCTCAGGAACACTTTCAGGCTGCTGACTCATCTCTACAATTCCTCCAGCATTAAGAGCTGTATATCCATGGTAAGAATATAAGTAGCAGTGCTAAGCATTCCTATTGCTGCCACAGCTGGTGCCAAACAACCCACCAGTTGGTTTTCCTATTTCATCTACTAGTCCAGAGGTGTGGCCCAGCCAGAAAACTGAGACAATTAACACACACTAATGACAAGGACGGGAAGAGCTATAGATTCCTAACCCGAACTGACTCCTCCAATTATATTAGTCCTATGGCCAGTAGAGCTGAAAAGGACTAATAATACACACAAGATCATGCTTGTAGTTGATATAATACTTGGCAATACAAACCAAGTGCCAGAACTTCTACAACTATTGTGAAAGGATATCCTATCTGAAGAATTCTCTTTAGATGCATGCCTAAAACCATTTCTCGCTTCTCGTGTATTTGGAATACAAAATTTTCCCACTTATGAAACTGCCAAATCAAATGAGTGAACAAGAGGAAACAAGATGAAGCCAGATGGATTTGCAATTTTACAGCATTTTGCCCTAGTCCAAGTGAAAATGTAATAAGTATTACAAGATAAACCCTTGTAATCCCAGAGCTAAAGCTCCTCAGGGAAGAAAAGGCTTCCTCTCTGCCTTATACACTTTAGTCTCTCAAATTGAAATAACAAACTCCACATATTTTTCCTTCTCCCCTCCCTACATATATAACAGATTCCATTATCTTTTTTTTTTCTTTTTATTTCCTTTCTCTGTAACTAACTCTTCACTCCTTTCCTATTTCCCACCTAAGGTGATTCTATGTGGGCCTTGTACATTTGGGCTTGTGGTTGAGAACCTATCAGTGTTAAATGGGATGAACTTAGACCTTTAATAACTTTTCACAATGTTATATTTTATGAATATTACTCATTAAAAGTACAAACAGGGGTTGGGTCCAGCTGAAGGGACTAGTTGTAGTTGCCCACAATGTGGCAAAGCAATCCTCAAGTTCTCACTAAGAAAGATGCCCACATTTAGTGTCTAGAATTGCCTCCCGAGGAAGATACAGGTGGGGCACAAGAAAAAAACCCTTTAATTAAAAGTTCTCATAAGATAGATTAGATCTACAAATTTTATATAATTTTAAAAATAATTATTCATCATATTACTTTATTTTAAATATAAATAGATTTCAACTATTATATTCTATATTTACCAATGTCTAAACCAATGTCTAAATTATCTAAAATTTATTATGCATGATCATTAAGATAAGATCGCATGATTAGGTTGTTGGTTTGACAAAATTCAAGTATAACTGGCCCTTGAATGGTGGAATTGAGGTTCGACGTATTCTCTTGCTTTACTCCAATTCCTTACACAGCATGAAAAAAAAACTGTACAAAAAGCTTAAGAATACTTTTCAAATATATATCTAGAACTATCCAATAAGTATCCAGGAAGTATCTGAGAAAAAATGGCTAAAAAATAAAAAAAAAAGATTGGATACTTTTCAGTTACGTATCTAGAAGGATCTAAGGAGTATCGGTATCCGATACAGGTATGACACCAATACTTTTCCATTTTTGGAGTATCCGGGCTTCATTCTACAAATTTCAGTTAGGGATTAAATTTGATTTTAAATTTTCTTTTCATTTTATTCACCTCATGTTTGGCATTGAATCAAGAAAGAAGAAAATTATTTTCTACTTCCTGAGGTTCATCTTCTACTTTATTTCCCCTTGTTTCATTCTCATGTAAAGGCTTGTTGTCTGACAAGCTAAGCAGCCCTGTGACAAATCAGTTTTATGAATGGCGGATGGCAGAATATGGTGTAATGCAGAAACTCTGCCATATGTACACGCTATTGTGGTTTATGTTGCCAGTATAGAGGGCCTCTCTTCACAAATCGCCTATGGCAGTTGGCAGCAAATCTGCCATGCCATTCCACCATGCCACTGCCTTTTAACAAAATTGTTATGAATGTTATTACTATTTACAAGGTTGGAATCAATTATAATTTGTATTGTAATGTTTTTTTGGATTAATCATCTTTCGTTGATTTAAATACCAATACTTTTGTAAGTTGCCTGCAATTACAAATTCTGCCTTTCTAATTACTGGGTTTGGCCAGGCCAGGGCACTTCTAGAATGGCATAATATAGCACGATTTTGTGGACATTGTGGAGAGAAAACAGTCCCAATGGAAGCTGGGAGGCGAAAACAGTGTTCAAATGAATGTTGCAAAAAAAGGATATATCCACGAGTTGACCCGGTTCGCTATATTTTGTTCTAATTCTGATGGGTGAGTGATTGATGGATAATCAAGTGTTGCTGACTTTCTTGGTGACCTAATCTTATGCAGGTGGTCATTATGCTAGTAATTGATCGGGAGAATGACCGTGCCCTTCTCAGCAAACAATCCAGATTTGTACCTAGAATGTGGAGCTGCTTAGCGGGTTTTATAGAGGTGCATGCTTGACCTAATCTAAGACCACTTCCTATTTTAGGTACTTAAACTGTGCTGTTATTACGTGAAACACTATAGCCTGTTCCAGTAAGCTTGAGTATGTATAGGGGAAACTAATTTGAATTTGTTTACCTACTGTAATAGCCAATTGTTACCTTAATTGAACAATATCTCTTCTTCTAAATTACAATATTCTGTTTGATTGTAAAAGCTCCTATTTATATGGTCTGAACTCTGAAATTCTTGAATTTCCTTTCATTCTTTTAATTGTAAATTATTATAGGTGGGGATAGCAGTGTTGGTTGCAATTGAGAGGGGTATTAAAATAAGCATTTTTTTAATAAGCTTCACTGTGAAGCTTAACCAAGTATGTATCATTTTCAGCTTAAAGTACTTATATGATAATATAAACCCAAATGATTTCCATAAAAACTCTACCAATAGCATCATTGGTAGATTTTGATAGGGCAAAACTTCAACCTTCTTCAACCGAAATAATATCTTATTAAAGTTGGGTTTCTTTGATTCAAGAGTTCTTGTTATGTATAGCTAATTGCTTTCTTGTTTAGATTTAATCCTCTATCAATATATTTAAACTTTTATCCCGTCTCCTCTTGTTGCATTTAGCCAGGAGAAAGCTTGGAGGAGGCTGTGAGAAGAGAAACATGGGAGGAGACTGGTATTGAAGTGGGAGAAGTTGTATATCATAGTTCTCAGCCATGGCCAGGTATACATCCATTATTTCTCCATCGCTTGCATGAGATAAACATCTGAAGATTTGTTCTTATAAACATCTGATAGAAAGTCATACAGGTTATTTGTGTTACTCAAACATTACTTATATCATTCAGGGCATGCCTATATGGCTAGATAGATGATTTGACGTTCTACTTTATAAAGTATTGTCAAATCCACAGAATTTAATTATTGTCAGTTTTTTTGAGTTGGTTTGGATAAACTTCTCAACAAGTATTTATTGAAGAAAATAAAATAAATCAAGATTGAAGAGGGTAAAAGAAATCTAACTTCTCACATAAGTTAAAATCAACTTATGCACCTTAACTTTTTTTGAGCTTCATTCATTTAACTTCTCAAGAAGTACTTATAAACAAAAGAAAGCTCAAATTTCTTACCTTAGACAGTATTGTTTTACAATTAAAAAGCTCCTGTGAATTAGAAATCAATACAACTGGATGTTAGTATCAATTTCTTTATTTTTCTTAACTACATGACGCCAATGGAGGATGTGAATATTTTCTCCAAATTTTACGTCATTTTAGGATCTGTTTGTGTAAGTACTCTATATCATAATAATAATATAACAAGTAAATTAATCACTTGTAGTCCTGTGATGGTTTGATTATGTTCATAGTAATTGATATAAGAGTTAATGTCTAGAATGTGTTAAGTGTTATGTGAAACCATAATTATTTTCATATACAGGGAGCTTTCAAAAGCAGTTAGTTTTGATTGTTCAAAGTAACTTAAAATGTGAAAACTGATTCTTTTCATATACATATAACTTTCAAAAGCAGTTAAGTACAGGTTAAGATACTCTGGTGTACTGAATTATAACATATTTTGGGTTTTCTTTTGTCATCAGAATTATAATTTTTTTTTCTTCCTTTTTTGATTTTGTTTCTAGTTGGACCAAATAGCATGCCATGTCAGCTGATGGTAGGGTTCTTTGCATATGCAAAATCCCTAGAAATAACTGTGGACAAAGAAGAGTTAGAAGGTATATCCATCATTTAAAAGCATTGACCTATTACTCATTTCCCCCCTGATGCAACTTTCTATTCCTTGATTTATATGCGTTACTTTAAGGGGTTTGTGAAGAATCTATATTTACGAGGCACACACCAGGTACAGGTGCATGGTCTGGCTGAAAATTGAGCCTTGCAGGTGTCAGACAGATACTATGTAGTTTGTACACACTGGAAGCATTTTCTTTTAAGAATTATAATGCAAATGATTTGCTTTTCTCATGGTGTTAGCTTCAATAATATGAATGACATGTATCAGTTGGATTACAATCGTTGTTGGGTAAACTGGAACATCAAACTCTTGCTGTATTACAACTGTTGTTGGCTTTTGTTTGTTTGTGGAGACAATAGGAAAAGTTTGGGGAGGATTGTAATTAGTGGGTGTTGATGAAAAAGACTATTCAACTTAAGTTTTGTTTCCCTTCCACTTGTATCTACTATCTAGCAAGCCTTCCTCTTTATATGGTTGCAATATGTAAATTATAACTGTGCAATGGTTTAACTTCTAAAGCATTCACTTTCTCATCACTATTCACCGTTCCATTTCTTTTGGGTTTGTTATTGGATCCGTGACAAATGGGTATGCTGCAACTTTTTGATCCAGATGCTCAGTGGCACAGTAGAGAAGATGTAAGAAAAGCTCTGACATTTGCTGAATACAAGAAAGCCCAACAAACTGCAGCAGCAAAGGTAGAACAAATGTGCAAGGGAGTAGAGAAGACTCACAGCTTGGCTAATGATTTCAATTTGGAAAGTGGTGAACTTGCTCCAATGTTTGTTCCTGGACCCTTTGCAATAGCTCATCACCTTATTTCCTCTTGGGCATTCCCAGATCAAAATGTAAATGGCATTGAATGCCATTCAAAACAACCTAGTGGTTCTATTTCAAGTTTGTAGGAGAGACTGAAATTATTTTTTTAGGTTATAAAGCTTCTCTTATTATTGTTCTGTATCAATCGAAGTTGAATGGTGGTGGGGGAGGGTTCGTGTGACTGATGAGGTTTTCACATCAAATTACTGTGAAGAATCTGCACACCTTGAATTGGAGACATCTACTTATGATTTTACATTGTTTTTCATACTATACTCATGTTCATTATTATCAATCAACATAAGATTGTCTGCAATATGATGTATTTTTATTTGCTGGGTGTAGAATGAAAAGTTGTGAAGTGGAATTATGGAAGTTTGACATCAGGTATGACTCTTGAGGAGTCGTGAAAACTTAATTTTAATGTTATCTGTAAAATAAATCCTTTTAGTTGTCATCCTCAGTCGTTTATTGTTGTGTTATGATAACATTACGAGATTGGCATTAAATAATTGAGAAGTGTATTAGAACCAGGAGTAATTGTGACTCAAGAAAATATTGGGAGAGCAAAATGTATTATTCATGAGGAAAACCAATAGTGGCTTATATAAGCCTTTACAAAACAGAAATGAAACAAAGAGCCACGTACTACATGGCAACAAACTAGGAATAAAAGAAACTGCTACATGGCAACAAATTAGGAATAAAACAAACTGTTCCTAAAAAATAGAAATTCCCTTGGAATTGGGGCTTATTAACCAATGTGGACTAATATTCCCTCCCTTAAGCTATATGAATATGCAGTTAGCTTACTTGAGTGACCTTCATTACTCCAAGCATGCTTCGAAGCTTCTCAAACTATTCAAGCTTCAATGGTTTTGTCATTATGTCGGCAACTTGTTCTCCAGAGTAGCAAAAACTCAATCGCACAACTTCGTCGTTTACCAAATCTTTGAGGAAATGAAACGTTATTGCAATATACTTGTTTCTACCATGAAAAATTGGATTTTTAGACAATTGAATAGTGGAACTATTGTCACATAAGATCACAGTTTCTTCCTTCTCTTCAACTCCAAGTTGCTCCAAGATTCTTCTAAGCCAAATACATTGACAAGCACAAAGTGCTGCAGCAATGTATTCTGCCTCAGTGGTGGATAAGCTTACAACAGGTTGCTTTTTCGAGGCCCATGAAACAGCTCCAGATCCCATCATGAACACCGAACCAGAAGTGCTTCTTCGATCATCCAAATCCTGCGTAATTGTTGTCGGTCTAAGCTATAAGACCTGTTTTTCTTCCTTCATTCTTGTAGAATATTCCATGCTCTGTAGTTCCTTTTAGATATCTTAAAAGCCTTTTTGTTGCAGCCCAATGTGACTTTTTTGGATTTGCTATGAACCTGCTGATCAAACTTACTCCAAACATCAAATCAGGTTGAGTTACAATTAAGTACATGAGGCTTCCAACTGCTTGTTTGAACTTTGTAGCATCTACTTCAGCTCCATCCTCATCTTTCGATAAAATTGTTCCTAGAACAATTGGGTTCCTTACTGGATTATTGTCCGCCATGTTAAACCTTTCTAGAACTTCTTGAGCATATCTTCTTTGACAAATAGAAATCTCAGCATCACTTTGTATCATCTCCATTCCAAGAAAATGTCTCATCCTTCCCAAGTCAGACATGTCAAACTCTTCATTTTTCTTGGTGAACAAAATGTGTTCACTAGAGCACCTTTCAAAATTTTCCTTTGCAAAATACGTCTCAATTTTGTTGTACCAAGCTCGCGGTGCTTGTTTAAGGTCGTATAATGCTTTCTTCAACTTGTAGACTTTATCTTCTTTTCCCTTTTTGACAAATCCTTCAGGTTATTGTGCAAATACTTCTTCTTTGAGCTCACCGTGAAGGAAAGCGCTCTTTACATCAAGTTGAAACACTTCCCATCCACATTGAGCCGCCAAAGCTAATAGTACCCGCACGGTGTCAAGTCTTGCTACTGGTGCAAATACTTCTGTATAATCCACTCCATATCGCTGTGCATATCCTTTTTCCACCAATCTTGCCTTATACTTTTCAATATTTCCACTTTCATTGAGCTTGGTTTTGAAAGTCCATTTAACTCCAATAGGCTTAACTCCTTTTGGGGCATCAGTTAGTTCCCACGTCTTGTTCTTTTTGATTTCCTTTATTTCCATATTCATTGCTTCTCTCCACTTCATGCTTTTGGATGCTTCTTTGAAGGAATGCGTATCACTTCCATTTTCAACCATCATCATCGCCATTAAGCTTTCCTCTTCCTTAAATAAGTTTGTTTCCTCTTCATAATCTGCGTCCAAACTGGTTTTCTTCTATTCCTTGTTGCCCTCCCTTCAACTGGAAATTCTTGTTCACGATCATTTTCTTCATTTGCTGGAGGCCCGATCTCACTTGAATTGCTTGAGGATGCACTTTGATTGATATCACCACTGTCTACTTCTTCATTTTGTGTAGGTTCTTGGTCGTCACTATTTTCTTTTTCTTCCCAATCTAGAACATCAACTTTCTATTTTTCTTCAGTTCTCTTCCAATCCCAACTCTTGTCTTCTTCAAAAATTACATCTCTGCTCACAATGACTTTCTTTGCAATAGGATCAAATAATTTGTAAGCTTTAGATTCATCACTAACTCCCAAAAATACACAGTCAACCCTTGGCTTTACACCACTCCATGTTTCTTCCGGGGTTCTCTATTCTACTGCTGAAGTTGGACTTCTATTTTGTACCTGTACACACCATTTAACTGCCTCAAGCCAAAATACTTTTGGAACTTGTATCTCGTTCAGTACTGTCCTTACTGCATTCATGATCATCTTGTTTTTCCTTTCGGTGACTCCATTTTTTTGAGGAGTATAGGCAGTTGTCAATTGCCTGGAAATTCCTTGATCCTTACAAAAATCTTCAAACTCCTTAAAGGTAAATTCGCCACCTCTATTTTTCCTTAAGCAAGTGATGAATGCACCAATTTCTTTTTCAACACAAACTTTGAACTTTTTGAACACATCAAGTGCCTCTGATTTTTCACGTAAGAAATAGATCCAAGTTTTACGAGAAAAATCATCAATAAAGCTTAAGATGTACCTTTTGTTACTGTTTGAGGATGGTGTGCTAGGACCACAAATATCGGTATGAATTACCTGAAGTTTCTTTGAGGCCCTCCATGAACTTTTCTTTGGTATTAACTCTCTCTGTTGTTTTCCAATGAGACAGGTAGTGCAAATAATCTTTGGAGACGTTAAAGAAGGCAGCTCAATAACCATCTTCTTGCATGCGAGTGTACTGAGCCCTTTGTAGTTAAGGTGTCCAAAGCGACAATGCCACAATTGAGTTTCTTTCTCTGAGAGGACTTCAGCTTGTAGACACATTGGATATTTTGGTGCTGTGGAAGCTGTCAAATAGAACATCTTATTTCCCCTCATACTGGTGTGCATAATTAAATCCTTTATCTAGGTGAAATACTTTGCAAGTGCCATTTTGAATTAAAATTGCTAACCCCTTTTCTTGAAGTTATCCTAAGCTTAGTAAATTATTCTTAAGCTCAGGGATAAAGTAAACATCGGATATTACCTGAGTAATGCCATTTATTTGCACTCGGATACTTCCTTTTGCTACAACAACCATTGTGGTATCATTCCCAAGCTTTACAGTTCTGCAAAATCCTTCTTCCATTTCTGAAAACCATTCCTTATTTCCTGTCATATGATTATTGCAACCAGAGTCCAAGAACCAAGCTTCTTGTATAGTTTGATGCAATTCTTCGTACTCCACCAGTAAGAGTTTTTCTTCTTCCTCAAGCTCCGCATAATTGGCCTTCTTCTCCCAATCAGGGCACTCATATTGGAAGTGACCCAGCTTGTGACACTTAAAGCACTCAACGATTGATCTGTTTAGAGATTGTCTTCCTCTTCCTCTACACGTCTTCCTCTAAATGGACCTCTACCTCCTCTACCTCTGATTGGTTTATCATCATTGGTTATCTTCAATACATGTTCTTCTGTCTGAAATCCTTGCATTTTTTGCTCATGAACAAGAAGGCTTCCATGTAGTTCATCAATACTTAAGGCACCCAAATCATTTGATTCCTCTATTGAGCACACAACATAATTGAATTTAGAGGTTAAAGATCTGAGTATCTTACTAACAACCGTCGTACTTTGCTCCATTGCTTCACCATTTGATTTCATCTTGTTTACCACATTAAGAGTCCTTCCCAAGTAGTTATCGACCTTTTCGCCTTCTTTCATGGCCAGTAGTTCAAACTCTCTTCTCAATGCTTGGAGTTGTGCTCTTTTCACCTTTGTGGACCCTTGATACTTTTGCTGCATAGATCTCCATATTGCCTTCGAAGTTCCCTTGTCCAGAATTGTTTCCAGAATCTCTCTATCAATAGCTTGAAACAAGAAGTTCTTGACCTTCAAATCTTTAAGCTTGGCCTCTTCCACACTCTTCCGTTGTGCTTCTTTGGTGTTGTCCCAAGTGTTGGTATTCCTTCTTCCACGAGGTGCCACATTTCTTTACTTCGTAGAAAGTTCTCCATCGTCATTAACCAATAATCATAGTGGCCTCGAACCTTGGAATGGCCGGTTGTACGAACTTCTCAGATATAGACATATTGATCTCTCGGTGTTTCTTCTCCTCACACAATTTTTCTCTCTCACTCACTTCACACAAAGTACCAGGCCCCTTATGGAGCTCTGATACCAATTATTAGAACCAGGAGTAATTGTGACTCAAGAAAATATTGGGAGAGCAAAATGTATTATTCATCAGGAAAACCAATAGTGGCTTATATAAGCCTATACAAAACAGAAATGAAATAAAGAGCCACGTACTACATGGCAACAAACTAGGAATAAAAGAAATTGCTACATGGCAACAAATTAGGAATAAAAGAATCTGTTCCTAAAAAATAGAACTTCCCTTGGAATTGGGGCTTATTAACCAATGTGCCCTTGATACTTTTGCTGCATAGATCTCCATATTGCCTTCGAAGTTCCCTTGTCCAGAATTGTTTCCAGAATCTCTCTATCAATAGCTTGAAACAAGAAGTTCTTGACCTTCAAATCTTTAAGCTTGGCCTCTTCCACACTCTTCCGTTGTGCTTCTTTGGTGTTGTCCCAAGTGTTGGTATTCCTTCTTCCACGAGGTGCCACATTTCTTTACTTCGTAGAAAGTTCTCCATCGTCATTAACCAATAATCATAGTGGCCTCGAACCTTGGAATGGCCGGTTGTACGAACTTCTCAGATATAGACATATTGATCTCTCGGTGTTTCTTCTCCTCACACAATTTTTCTCTCTCACTCACTTCACACAAAGTACCAGGCCCCTTATGGAGCTCTGATACCAATTATTAGAACCAGGAGTAATTGTGACTCAAGAAAATAT